TCCAGTACCTCCAGACACAGGGGCCTGGGATGCCAAGTCCAGAGAAAGACTTTGTCCTGCCTGGGGACCCTGCAGACATCCTCCTGCCCTAGAAAGGGCTGATGACCTAGCTCACAGAGTGCCCCAGGGAACAAGGATGGGGTGTCCCTTCCCAGTACAAGGATGGCAGAGCTATGAGTGGAACTTCTGTGATCCCTGGAGATCTGTCCAGCACCTGGCAGGATGTGGCACTTTCTTGGCACTGCCACAGCACACCACAGAGACAGTTCTGTGCCACCACAGTGACAAAGCCACACCAGGGGCTGCCCTGCTCCTCGCTCAACCCGGTGCCCCAGAGCCTGCAGGGCTCCAGAGGTGTCTCTGGCCCAGGGATGCCTTTTTGGGAGGCTGCTCAATGGTGGTGCATCCATGGCCAAGGGCCTGCTGGGAGGAGTGCCCAAGGCAGGGTGACATTCACACTGCAGGTTAGGCAATCCTGGCTGCTCCGTCCCTCCCTCAGCTGCCCCAGAAAGGCGGCGGTGAGGGCTGGCGGCTGGGAATTGGGAGCAGGGAAGAGTGCGTCAGCACAACGGGAACGGGCACCTGGGGAAATCAGACTGTGCTGCGCTGCTGGGCAGCAGCAGTGGGGCCCCACTGGTGTGGCCACAGAGAGGTGCAGCTGCACACCGGAGCATGGAAACAGGGTGACCCACCGGCTGTCTGCCCAGGGCAGTGCATGTCACCCGTTCTGCCACACTTCACGCCACAGCCAACGGCACCGTGCCGTGGTCCCCAAAGGCGTGATGCACAGTGACTCCACATGGACTCACTGCAGGGCAGAACCCCTGCTGCACACTCCTCTGCTCCTCCTGCTACCCCACCGGGCTCCTGACCAGCACATAAACCTTCCTCCATCCTCCAAACACCACTTCTCCAGAGTCCTGGCTCAGTGCTTCAGCATTGCGAAGGCTCCTTCTGACCTGCCACAGTCATCCAGCCCCCTGCTCAAGGTGCAGCGTCTCTGGTGTGCCTCCTGCGCTGCAGAGTCCCAGATGCAGCTCCTTCCCTGGAGCCTCAGGGCTCAGTGTTGCTTCCCTGACTCCCCATCCTCACTCTCCCCATGCAGACAGCACATCTCACATCTCTGAGCAGCGCCACCCGCCTCCATGCTCCCCAACACTCAGGCCTTCAATGTCCTAGGGAGACAGCATCCATCCTCCATGAGGAAGAATTTGTTCACCAAAAGGGTTGTCAAGTACTGGAACAGAATGGCCAGGGAAGTGGTGGAGTCACCATCATAGGAGGTATTCAGAAAACATGTAAATGTGGCACTTAGGGACGTGGTTTAACAGCGGGCTTGGCAATGCTGGGTTAAGGGTTGGATTGATGATCTTAGAGGTCTTTTCCAACATAAATAACTCTATGATTGCATGATTCCACAATGATGAGGCAGGGGGGGCTGAGCCCCAAACCTCCAGGATAAAGCCCACCCATGTAAGGGCAGCAGTGCCTATGCATTCCCTCTCTGACTGCTGCACCCAGAGGTGATGGTGATGAGCAGAGGGGCTGCCCCTGGGATGAGCAAATGCTTGTTAATTTGCCTTGGCTAATAAACTACCAGGTCTCGAACATCGAAGGGGCACAGACTCCACCTACTTGTCCGCCCCACCTCTCACATTAGGCTCCTCCTCCTAGCCCCATTGGCAGTCCAGTTCATCCAGTGCATTTCCAGTGTCTGGTAAAGCTATCATGGTGGCCCTACGGGAGTTCTGCCCGTGGGCAGCTGGTGGGGGGTGTGCTGAGGACCGTGTTGGTGGCTGTGGCGGGTGGTACCAGCAGTACCGTGTGCCCAATCCCCATCTCTCTCTCTCTTTTCTCTCTCTCTCTCTTCTCTCTCTCCTCCTGCCCCGAGCAGGCTTGGCATCACATGCTCCCAACACCTCTGTGCCCAGTCCTGGCAGCCAGCCTGGCCTGGCAGCGGGTACTGCAGCCACATGCTCTCTCCAGGCTGGAGAGCCACCCCAGTGCTGCGGCACCCGGCACCCCAGCCTGCAGCAGGGTGGGCACAGCAAAGCTCAGCAGCCCTTCTGGCCCCAGGGCACGCACTGCAGCAAGAGCCTGCAAAGCACTGCTGCCAGCCTCAGCAAACCTGTGCCAAGGTCTGCGCCCGCACGGCCGTGCTGGTGGCCACGTCACCCTTACCTTCCATGTCAATGATGGCCAACACCGCACTGGTCATGGCCTCTCCCTGCTCGTTCTCAGCGACGCACGTGTACACACCGGCATCCTCCTTCTTGCTGTCCCGGATCCAGAGGGTGCCATACTCCTCCCCGCCCTGGGCCAGCTGCTCCTCGTTTCGGTACCAGCGGAGGCTGGGCCGGGGGTTGCCCACCACCACCACTCGCAGCCGGATGTCACAGCCGGTGCCGATCGCGGCATTCTTCAGTTTCCTCACAAAACACGGCGCTGCCAGGCGAGCTGAGCCCTCCTGGGGCGGCCCCGGCTCTGCTGTGACCTTGGCGCGCTTCGGGGGGATGCCCGGGCTCGGCGGGGCTGCCCGAGGCTCCCCAGCAGCCCTACTCGTGCCGCCGCGTCCCTGTGCCCGCTGCATAGCCTGCAGCTCCCCCACGGCCACCCGCGACCCCTGTCACCCCAAACCCGCACGTTGTGCCCTTCTTCTCCCCCTGCCTGCAGCCTGGGGGTGCTCGGTGCCTGACTGGGGCGCTGGGGCAGTGGCGACCCCCCAGCCCAAATGCCCTCCGGTTCGGTGCCTCCCCCCGCAGGCTGCAGCCCCAGAGGTCGCAGCACTGTGGGCAAGCAAGGGACTATATTTAGGCTGGGACTCGGGCTCCTGCTCGCCCAGCCGCCACTCACCAAGCGCCCGGTGCAGCGTGGCACTCACACCCCGTGCTCTGCGGCAGCCCCAAGCCCGCCCAGCGCCTCGGCACCTGCTCCTCGCCGCCCGGGTGCGAGTCCCGCGGGTGCTGCCCGCTCGCCGAGCCGTCCCCGCCGGGGCCGTGGCGTCCCCCCCCTCACCCGTCCCGTCCCGTCCCGTCCCGCGCAGCCCCCGGCGAGCTGCGCTCCCTCTGCCCCCTCTGCTGAAGTGGCAGCTGCCTCTGATATGTCACATTCCTTGGCTGGGCTCCCCCTCTCTGCGCCTGCTGCCCCGTCCCTGCAGCCCAGCTCCACTTGCAAAGATAGAAAAGGGCCAGCACCTTTCCATATTAGCTGAGAGGCTCGGGGGGGACCCAGCCTTCCTCCCCCGCTTCCCCTTCTCCGGCAGTGTCATTGGATCAGGGCAGAGTGAGACCCTGACGGCATGTGGAGGCAAAGGACACCGTCGTGCTTCCTGCAACGTAAGACCCGGGGCAGGAGCCAGCCCTTCAGGGCCCCTCAGCTCCCTTCCCAGCAGACGGCAGAGGCGGGGATCCCAGCATCCCTGACCACCAAATCCTCCCTGCCCGGTGGGCTGCAGACACAGCAGGACTCCATTTCTTTCACCGGGCCCCTGCCTCTGCCCTGGACAATGTGGCTCCCGGCCAGCCCTGCTGGAGCTGTTCGGCCTTGGGGCATCCTGTGGTAGCTCCCACAGCCAGGCTCCAGGCAGCGAGCAGTCAGGGACGGTCTGTGCCAGATGCTGCCTGGCCATCCCTGGGCAACGCAGGGCTTCCCCATCTCCTGGAGCCACGGCAGCGCCTCGCCCTCGCCAGGGGCTGTAAATCTGCGTGAGCAGGAGGCCAGCGACACGACACGGTGCTTCCCAGCTGCAGGCCAGCCCCGACGGCTTTGGCACAGCCCGCTGCCACCAGCCTAAGAGTGCCAGCATCAGTGGAGCATCACGAGCAAGGAGAAAATCCCGGGATTTCCCAGCTGGGATGGCTGGGGCACAATGGAGAGGGATGCCTTGCTAGACCCACAGCCTGGCTACAGAGTGGCTGAGCCAGCCCAAGAAGACGCCTGGGGGCTTCTTCCCTGCCCTGAAGGCAAAGGAATGCTTTGTCCCCAGCCTGCCCCCAGGGGCTGAACTCTGGCACAGCCAGCCTGGGCCGGCAGGGAGGGAGGTGCCATCCCAACCCAAGGTAACCTGGAGCCTGTCCACGATGTCACAGGGCCACCTGCTGGAGATATCCCTTGAGATCCAACACCTCGCAGCTGGGGTTTGCCACACTGGCCTCTCCATCAGGGACACCCCCAGACCACTCCCCACTCCTGGCAGTAGCACATGCCTTGTCCCTAAAACATCACCCCGTGCCAAGCCCACTGCCCACCTGGCATCTGCTGCCTGGCAGAGTTTTGTGCACCCTCCAACATCTCCCATGGCAGAGCAATCCTGAATTGCTCTCCCACATGGGATGCTCAGCTCTGGGTTCCACTGCAGCACCCCCCCGTTGGGATGAAGGAGCTGAAACCAAGATGCCCACAACCTGAGCACAGGGAGAGGGGCACGTGTGTCGGGAGGAAGGGAGCGTGTGGTGTTGGCAGGCTGAGGCTGGAGGTTGAGCCTGAGATGCAAGCATAGGGTGGTGGGTCTGATGCTCACAGGGTGTAGCTCACTTAGGGATGAGGATGGCTCTGCTTGCAGGTTCGTGACACTTGGAGGGGCTTAGAAAAGTTCCAGGCAGATGTGGATTTGGGTAAGTTCCAAGCTGGGGTAAAAAGGAGGTGGCTGTGGACCTGAGCCACCAGGACATGGTATGTGACCGTGGGTGTGTGGGGGAGATACAGGACCATCACCCAGAGCCCCTTTGAACCAGCTCAGGGCTTAGCTGTCACTGTTCCCTGTCCCAGCAGGACTGTCCCACCCAGTGCAACTGGGAAACCCACCACCTCAGGCAGCAAAATGCTCGAGAACCTTCAGTGTGAGAGACATGCCCTTTTGGGGGCCCAGCACCCCAGGGAGGAGACAGTCCAAAGAGTTGCTGGCTCATCCATCCTCCTGGCCCTTGTGATGCCTCCCCCAGGTGCTCTCTCCCCACCACCCCGTTCCCTCTCTGCCCCAGAGATGCACTGAGACGACAGGGTGATGCTCCGCTGTTTATTTCAGCCGCCTGAAGAGTCTCATACACGTGGTGGGGTGGGGGTGCATTGGGGCAAGGGTCGGGGATGCCTGCCCTGGCCCCCCGGGCCTCTCTCCGGCTCCTCTCATTCTCTCCCCCCTCTCTCCCATTCACTCACTCCTCCTCTCTCCTGTGTCCACCTACGGGTACCCTCTCGGCTCATGAGCCTGGCCCCGTGCAGCCTCCTGCTGCTGGGGGTCCCCGCCACGGGGAGGGGCGGGCACTGCCCTCCTCTGCCCCACGGGGCTGCCTCTTGGGCCGGGGGGAGCCAAGGGCCCGAGCCCCCCGGGCTGGGGGGGACACGCAGGCTGGGCCCCCTCGCTCTGAGCTGGGCAGAGAACAGGGGGCTCAGCCCAAACCGTGCCTAGCTTCTCCCCATCCCCAGCATCGCTGCCGTGCACCTGGAGAAGTGCCAGCTCCAGGAGGGCTGGCGGTGCTGGTGGAGGGGGATGGGTCCCCACTCGTGTGGGATGAACCCAAGCCTGTGCCCAGGGTGGGAAGGGGCCTCTGGGGGGATCCAGAACCCGCTGCTGGGACCGTCCGGCTCTCCGTGGAGCTGGCCCAGGCCACCACCTGCTCCCCCCAGCCCCTGCCACCCGTCCCGTCCCTCCCTCCTGCCGCCCCCCGGCCCTGGCCTGATCCTGACGCTGGCGTTGCTGCTGCGAAGCTGCAAAAGCAGAGCGAGCCTTTTGAAGCCGGAGGAGAGAGCCCAGGGGGTGCGGGGGGCCCAGAGGCAGCTGCATGGGGGAGACTCCTCAGGCAGTGCCGGGGGAGCGCCGAGAGGCGAGGTGGGGGGCAGGAGGGGGGCATGGCGGAGGGACGGAGGCAGGGACAGAAGGTGCCAGTGGGCTGCTGGAGCAGCCTCCTCTACAGCACTTCATGCTGCTGCTGAGTCGCCTCACTCACCACCTGTGGGAGAGAGGCACCGTGAGACGCCATGCCCTGCCACACCAGAGCCCCGAGTGCGGGACCAGGAGCCGCCCTCGGCCCCTGCCCCCCAGGCACCCTCCGGTGCCAGCTGCGCTCACCTCCCCATCGCGGGTTTCGATGGTTTTGATCATCACGGTCTTTTTGGTGTGCACCTCGGAGCCCCGCTGCTCTGGGCTGGTCTCTGCAGGGGGAGGACACAGAGGATGGCACCACAGGGACGTGTGGTATGGGGACACAGCCGTGCAGCTGGGGTCACTGAGGAGCTTCAGCAGCCTTGGTTTAACCCCCCCTCAGCTCACAGCAACACCCAAAAAGTGCCACATACCAGGGGCTCTGTGTGGCACCTGTGTCCCCAACATGCCAGCCTGGCTATAACCCCCCCATGATGGACAAGTGGGGGACACAGGGGACTTATCCCAGGTCCCCCTCCTCATGGAGTGAGACTCACCTCGGAAATTGAGTGCGGAAGCGAAGGTCTGGTGCATGGGGATGCTGATCCTGTGGGAACACAGAGGGGAAAGCTTAGTTCCAGCCAGCCTTAGCCCTCAGGTGTGTCCTCACAAAGTTGGACCCCCAAAAAACCGCTGACCCTGCTGGTCCCCCCAGCTTGTCCTGCCCCGCTTCCACTCACCGGTTCTCCTCTCCCTCCAGCAGCTTGCGGTATGTGGCGATCTCCACGTCCAGGGCCATCTTGACATTGAGCAGGTCCTGGTACTCACGCAGGTGCCGGGCCATCTCATCCTTCAGGTGCCGGATCTCCTCCTCCAGGCGGGCAATGGTGTCCTGGTACCCACCGGCCTCCCCTGCAAAGCGCTCCTCCATCTCCCGCATCTGCCGCATCAGCGAGTCGTTCTGGAGAGATGGGGGTGCTCAGTGAGGGGGGAACCCAGAGGAGCCAGGGGTCACCTGGGGTGGGAGCTGGGGATGCTGGGGCATCCTGGGGAGACTTGTGCTCAACCCTGGGCTGGGTTCAGCTGATGTGGAACCATGATGAGTGACTGTAACCCTCCACCTGCCCAGCACTAGGCATCAGGGACTCACGGGGGCAAGCTGGGTATGTACTGGGCAACCCCAGGACCCTGGTGCCCAGGTCCCCCAGCAAAGCCATCCTACCCCAGCAAAAGGGCACGGAGGGCTGCAGAAGCACTGGATGCCTGCCTGGGGGTGGCACTGGTGCCTGCTGGCTGCCTCCTGTGACCATGACTATGACAGAATGGGACTGTTGTGCTCTGTTTGTTTGCAACCACCTTGCCAGCCTGCAACCAGACACCCTGAGCCCTGTGCCCGCCTGCCTGGAGCCTCCCAGGCTGGGTCACATTTTACAATCTGCACTTTGATTCCAGGACTCTGCCAAAACACTTTGCAGGAGCCCAGGCCACTGCTGGGGGAGGCGCAGCCCAAATGTGGGGTACAAGGCCCCCTGCAGCAGCAACTCAGAAAGCTGGGAAGAGTCCCCCACCCCAGGGATGTCCCTGAGCAGCCTTGGAGCAGCAGGTCCCTGCAGGGAAGCTGGGGATTTCTCAACGCTCCCCTTAGCTCACCGTGCCCTTGAGGGCATCAATCTCGCAGGTGTAGGACTGGATCTGGTGCCGGTACTCCAGCATCTCCTGCTTGGCCTGCCTTAGCGCATCGTTGTTCTTGTTGGCCGCCTGCGTCAGGTCAGACACCTGGGGAGAGACCACGGTCAGTAGGGATGGCCCCTGAGATGGAATCCGCTGCACAGGGGCCAGCCCAGAGCCCGCTGCCTCCCGCACCTTGGACTTGTACCACTCCTCGGCCTCGGCGATGTTCTTGGCAGCAATGCTCTCATACTGAGCGCGGATGTCCCGCAGCGCGGCTGTCAAATCAGGCTTGGAAATGTCCATCTCCACCTGGATGTGCTGCTCCTGCAGCTGTGCCTGCAGCTCCCGGATTTCCTGTGTGGACAAGGTGACATCTCAGGGCACCCACTCCATTTTCGCTGCCCCGTGAGAGCCATTGGAAAAGGGTGCCACTTCTGACCTACCTCTTCATGCACCTTCTTGAGGAAGGCGATCTCCTCCTGCAGGGACTCGATACGTCTTTCCAGGTCAATGCGTGCTAGTGTGGCTGCATCCACATCCTGGGAAAGACACAGAGTGAGGGATAGTGAGGGGAGAGCGCGAGGGCTGGAAGGTGCAAAGCTGTGTCTGGGACTGTGCCCTGGTGCTGAGGCCAGGCTGCTGGGGGGAGATGGGGGTGAGAAGGAGGGTAGGGCTCCCACGCCACACTAAGGGGACAGGTACTCACAGCTCTGAATGCAGCGAGGTTGTTCTCAGCCTCCTCCTTCAGCTGGATCTCCTCTTGCAGCCTGTAGGCAGAGAAGGGAGGCTAGAGGGGTCTGGAGGAAGCTCCCTCCCTCCGTGGTGATGTCCCCCCGAGCTGTCCTTAAGCCCAGCATGGCCCGGTAGGAAGAAAACAGATTGTCCTGTGTTCCCGGCAGGCAGCAGGGGACTGGCGGGGGGCCAGGGGCTCTTCCTCCCATTCCCTATTATAGTCAACGCCAGAGAGATCACAAAGACATGAGGTCAGCTCAGTGCCACGCACACTGCCCCAGCCCTTATAGGGGAGAGTGACCAGCAGCTGGGGGGACAGCGCAGGATCTGACACAGGGAGTCCAAGAGATGGCCACCAGCTGAGCTATCCCGGGAGAGCAGGAACACAGACAGGTTCCAGCAATGCTCTGGGATGGGATGTGAGGTGGGGACTGCTGTGGGGGAGGCTCAGGTCAGGGCTGGAGATCCAGGCTTGTGTCAAGGAAGGGAACAGTACTGCAGGGTGCATGTCAGTGGAAAGGCAGCGGGGAGGAGATGGAGGCGCCCAGGTGGTGCTGGCACATGGGGTGGCAGAAACCCAACACCCGTTTGTTCTTGGCCCTGCTCCTCCCCTGTCACAGAGAGTTCCTTCAAGCCACCACCCCCAGCTCCCCAGCATCAGGCAGGACCCCAGCACTGGCTGTCTGTGGTGGTGGCTGGGGTTACAGAAGGAGGCAGCAGGCTGTGTCACCCTGAGAGAATGGCATCCCCAGGGCACAGGGTCCAGGAGGGAAGGTGCAGACCATCATCAGAACACACAGCTCCCCTTGAGTATCTGCCCGTGCTGCCAGGTTCCCCACACTCGTCAGTCCCTGGGGGTTCTCTCAGCCTGGCCACCCTTGTGGATAATCCCCACTCACTTCCCCAGCACCAGCCAGGTCCACAGCATCTCTGGGGTGTCACAGGGCACCATGGACATTCAAGGCAGGCCTGGAGCATCCCTGGCCTGTGGAAGTGCAACTGCTTCCTCCCCTCCCTCCTTCATGTCTGGAGCTGATGGAACACCTTCCCTGGGTTATCCGTCTCCTCACTTCTGCCTGCCTGACTGCATCTGTCTGTCCATCTGTCTCACAGAGCTCAGCTCACCCATGGGCCCAGCAGCCCTCCCCTGTGTGAGCAGAGATGGGGACCCCGGGGTGAGGTGCACTTTGATCTCTCAGTCCTGCGGTGTTACAGCCCGGCTTCAGCCTCACTGCAAGGGAGAGCATAGGGGACACCCCTGCTATGGGAGCCACTCTACCTTCTGGGTGCTGCCCAGAAAGTGGTCAAGGGGGACAGAGTACCGGGGTCATGATGGGCTCTGAGCACGAGGCATGAGGATAGCAGAAAGCACTGAAGGGCTGCCAGGGCAAGCTCTGCTCCCACCCACCCCTAGGGATGGAGATGCATGGATGGACGACCACAGGGACTCTCTGGGTCCCCCCCTACTCACTTCTGCTTGAGCTTCTGCAGGTCATCGAGCAGGTTGTCACGCTCAACCTCCACGCGAGCCCTCTGGCTGGTGAGCACGTCGATCTGGCGCCGGAGCTCCCGCAGCTCCTCCTCGTACATCTCGGCCACGCGCGTGGGCTCCTTGCCCCGCAGGCGGTTCACCTCGGCCACCATGAGGGCATTCTGCTGCTCCAGGAAGCGCACCTTTTCGATGTAGTTGGCGAAACGGTCATTGAGCTCCTGCAGCTCCACCTTCTCGTTGGTGCGGGTCTGGAGGAACTCCTGGTTCATGGCATCAGCCAGGCTGAAGTCCAGCAGCTCTCCAGAACCCTGGTAGGCACTTTGGTAGGTGCGCAGGGGCGTCACGCGGGTGGTGCGGAAGGTGGACAGGCTGGGGACGGCCGAGGTGCGGGACACCTGGTAGACGCGGGAGGTGACGGAGCTGCCGCTGCTGCCCTTGCTCCCGAAGGAGGCACGAGGGAAGACCGGGGAGCCGCCGAAGGTGCGGCGGTAGGAAGAGACCCGCTGGCTGGAGGAGTAGGACTGGCTCATGGTGGCGGCGTGGGGAGGCGAGGCCGGAGCAGGGAGCAGGCAGAGGGCTGGCGAGAGGCCGGCACAGCTCGGAGAGGCGTCGGGAGGGGACCGCGCGCCGCTATTTGTATCCTGCTGACATCACCCGCCCCTCCTGCCGCCGGGCAGCGGGGGGATGCTGCCGCGGGGGACACGGCCCGCAAGCCCGCCCACTGCCCCCACCTGCACACGCCCCCCGGCAGAGCAGGAGCCCTGGGCACCCCCGGAGTCCCCTGGGAGGCCTCGACACCGGCCCCCACTGCTCTGCCCCGTCCCTGGGCGTGCGAGGGGAGGAAGTGGGGCCGACTGGAGGTGAACCCCCTGTCAGGGTGTAGTGCCACCCAACAGGGGCCTGGACAGACAGACAGACAGACAGCCTAGGCTGACGCCACGAAGGGAAAGAAAGGAACCTTCACAGCATCACTTGACCCCGTGAGCCAAACCCCATGCCAAGTAGCTGTGGTCCCCAAATCGGACTTGAGCACCCCAAACGGCCCCTGATGATGCCCTGACCCACCCCCTGGCAAGAGCACCAGGCTCAGGTCTCCATGTGGGGCCAGACTCCCATCCAGAAAGTGAGCAAGGAAGGGCCCCGGAGAGGGGCTGATGTGGGGGCACCCCTGCCCTGAGTGTGCTGGTACTGACCCAGCACCCAAACCCTCTTTCTGACATGGGGGGCTGAGCACTGGCCAGGGTCTGGGTGCTTCTGGAGTGCTGCTGAGTGACCCCGAGCAGGTGCTGGGTCCGAGCCCCAGTGACGGTGACGTCAGCCCCTGTCCTCACTCCGGCACATTCCCAAAGCAGCAGGCACTCAACCAAAATAGCCTTCCCAGCTCATACTCGTGGGGTGTGGGACACACAAACGTGGTATTTATAGTGGGGGAGGCACTCTGTTAACCCTTCTTGCTCCAGGCGTGTGGAGAGCACAGCTGGATGGTGACCTTGCCTGGAGCAGCCCTAGCCCCTCTCTGATCCCCATCACCCTAAGAGCAGAATGTGATGGGTCCCCATGTTATCCCAAGGCACAGCAGGCTCTGCCCTGTCTCCTCAGTCTCCCCCTTGGCCAGGAAGTACACTGGGGATCAGAAAGCCCAGCCCAGCTCCCCAAAAGCTCCCAGAATGAGGAATTTCTAAGTCCATCTGAAAACCCCCACTACAGCTTCCTGGACAAGCGGTGGGGCAGGTCAGGGACCCTCAGGGCCTTGCACAAACCCACGACAGCTGAAAAGGACATCCTGAGGGAAGGCGCCTGTGCTGGGGGAAACCCTCATGAGGGCGTCCCTTGCCTGGGCAGCACCCCCTCCTCCCCAGACTCCCCAGCACACCTGGTGACCCCCAGCTCTGTCCAAGCTGGGCTGTTTTGGCTGACGTCAGCTGGCTCAGCCCCAGTGCCTTTGTCCCTGAAGGCCCTGGTGGAGGGGACCGCTGTGCCACTGGGTGCAGGGTGACTCAGCAGCAGGACAGCACTCAGCCCTGCCTGGCCCTGCACCTCCCAGCCTTCTGTCCTGGCTGTAACACAGAAGCCAAGCAATGCCATGGCTCACCCATGGCAGCATCAGCATCAGGCAAAGGCTAGGGCTTGTTCATGGATGCATTCTCCACTGCCCTGGCTCTGGGAGGAACTCTCCCCTGCTGCCTCCCTGCTCCATGTCACTTGGGCAGCCAGCTAAAGTCTGGGTGCCACAGACACGCAGGTGGGCAGATGCTCGGTGCCCTGCATCCATTCTGCTCCTCCAAGCCCCCATCCCTGGAGCCTCTCCCAGCCACCCAATTGCAGAGTGATGTAGCGTCTTCCCAGAGAGTACAAGCCGCCTGGAGGAGCCTGCCTTTAAAAGGGAAGGTATTTCCAGATGAGGTTGTTTCATCCCAGCTCAGGGAGAGAATGGAAGAAAGGGGGGGCTTGTGGGGGGAGAGTAGATGGAAAAACAGACAGCATCCTTCCTCCTTCTGGCCCCATTCCGAGTATGCCCTGCACATCCCAGAGCCCGCACGTGTGCCCTGCCCGTGCCGCAAGTGCCGGCAAGCCGGGCCTTAGCTGGTGTGCAGAGGGGCAGGTGGGTGTCCTGTCAGGGGGACTCAGGGCATCTGGGACAGCACACCACCAGAAACAGAGTTCAGCCATCCCTTTCCATGACCCCACCCCACTGCTGGGCCAGCTGTGACTGTGGGGAGGATGGATTCCTCAGGGATACTGTGTCCAGAAGTGCCTGGCACCCTGCCCTTGTAGGTTTCAGGTGGGTTGATGCAAACCCCATCTCAGGCCTGAGTAGCTCTTGTTCCCATCCTCATCCCACAGAGCAAGTGGGGGCAGGGTTGGGGTGCTCCAGGGAGGGGAAATGCACTCTTGGGCAGTGCTGCTTGGAGGGGAAGCAGCTTAGAGGGGTTAACTAGGAGCATCCTCCTGACCCTGCTCTAGGGCAGACTTTTGAAGTGGCCTTTCCTTAGCTGTGGTGACAGCCTTCCGGTATGGCTCTGGGCAAGCAGGGGGGCCCCACGTCTTGCAGGGGGTGGACAAGCCTCTTAGGAAATCCCCGTCTGTTTGAGGAACCCACCATGCCAGGAAGGAGGGATGAAGAGCAGGACCCAGAGACCCTGCCTGAGTCCCACAGACAAGATGCAAACACTCTGTGCCAACTAAAGACCCAGAGGCTGCAGAAAGAGAGGAGGCTGCGGAGGCCAGAAGTGCAGGGCTGCCTCCTGTCCTGTCCTGTCCAGCCCAGTGCAGCCTCCCCACAGCTCCATCCCAGGCCAGGCTGACCCAGACCGGCGGAGCCTGGGAAGCGGCTCCTGAACCCCCGCACTGGCCTGGTCCCAGTTTCCATCAAATCTTGGACGAGACTGCTGCCGGGAAGGCGTTTGGAGCTGGAATGTCAAACAACTCCCTCTGGTCATGACATCCCTGTGAGCAAAGCCAGCTGCATCCTGCTGCCGCCCCTCCTTCCTGGCCCTCCCTCCCTGCCATTCCCCCAGGATTTAAACCCAGCACAGCCTCCTTGGGCTGTGGGTGTCTTGGGGCTTGAAGCTAGACAGGATATGGGGACAGGGTGCTGGCCCTTCCTTGTCCTTATGCCCTACCACCAGGACCCAATGCCCCCTTATGGCTGGCCTTAGCTCAAGGGACAGTTGAAGAATGGGAATGGGAATGGGAATGAAGCAGCGGGGGTGTCCATTCCCCTCCCTCCTGACCCCTGGCTGTCTTCCTTCATCCCGCTCCTTTTACAGCCATGAGCCTCCCAGGCGCCTTTACCCTAAGAGGGAAGGACTGTGTGGCCCATTCCCCAGTGCTGACGGATCCATGGTGCATGCTATTGTCTAAATAGGAGGTGGCTCTCCCTCCCTGCCTGGACCAAGGCCCAGCCTGGCCTGCTGGGGTCCCAGGAGCTGGTGGGTAAAATCTCCAGTCTCCCCACGCCTGCTGTTCATCCCAGCTGCACCCATGCCTTTGTCCATTCCAGAGGACGAAGGGTGCACAGACTGTCTGTTTGCTCCTGGTCCCTACCCCCATGTCCCCAGGTGATGGGGATGCTGAGAACACTGTCCTGTCTGTGAGTGGCACAGAATGCTGAGGGTGCCTGGATGCCCCCACAGCAAGCATGGATGCCAGGGGTGTCCAGATGCAACCTGTATAGATGCTGGGAGGTGTTTGCTCTCTTCCCTTGGTCTTTGTATGTCCTCTGGGCAAGTTGTTGCCTCATTGTTTCATGAGCATTCTGGGGGTGAGCTGTAGATGATGGGGGAGACCAGCGACTTCCATGTCCCTGCAGTCGCTTGACGCATACACCTGCCCCATCGCTCACCTACAGCTGGCCCTGAGGTCCATGGGGATGTTGGGGATGTTCCCCCATCCCTGCTGCCTAGAGGCAGGCTAAAGGGTGCCCTGCCCTCATAGTCCAAGGGGACATTCACCTGCCCAGTGGCATGGAGATACTAGAGTTGCCCAGCTGCCCTTGTGATCCGCGTGGCCGTGGGGATGATGGAGAGGCTGAGTGGTCCATGAGAATGCTGCAGGCCTCGATAGCATCACCCATGCCAGTGAGATGAGGCAGCGTTACCCGCTGCATCGCTGGTGGCTCACGTAAGGCATGGCGGCCGTTCACTCAGCCTCCAGCAATTCCTGGGCGCTGATTTCACTTTCCCATGCTCAGACACGTGGGCCGGGATGCGGGGGACCGCCTCGATGGATGCCATCCCTTTGCTCATCCTGGCAGGGCTGGCAAGGAGGGGTCCAGGCAGCCTGGCAGGCAGTGGGAGAAGGGGGTGGCACTTCCTGGATCTCTGTTGTGTTTACAGTCTTTGTCCTGGGCCATCTTTCCATTAACCCCTTCCAGCAGCGAGGGCTAAGCACTGCCTGCCCATTCCCAGAGCCTGCTGCCAGCAGGGAACACTTTTCTTACAAAGCCTGCCCAGAAGCCCACCTGGGCTCACGGGGGACATAGAAGGACCACGGTGCCCTGTCCCTACTGGCCCTTCCCTGCCAGGCACCCCTGGGCGCACATGTGAGCCCAGCAGCAGGGTGCATACATGCAGAGGAGGAGCTGGTGCCGTTTTGGAAGGGCTGCCTGTGGCTCCCCACTGCACTCGATGATCCGTGGGGCAGCACGGGATGGGGGACAGAAGCACTGTCTTCCCAGGAGCACGGTGATGGGGTAGGGGGCAACCACAGCAGGTGCTGTGCAGCCCTTGGCACCCAGCCAGGGGTGAGTCAGAGCCCACCCGGATATAGCCATCAGGAGCTTTTTCTGGAAGTCCCGCTGTGCCGGGAATAGCTGTGGCACGCCAGGGCACTGCCCTTTGCTCACAGCCTCACAGCGGCAGGGCCACACGAAGGCCACACCCGGCCCTGCCACTCACTCGTGCTCTGACACCCAGGAGCAGGGCACGCCCTGCCCCTGCACACACACAGCCCAGGAGCCACCCGCCCTGAGCACCCGCTGGGTACCCATCCGCTCTGGGCATCCACCAGCTGGGGAGCCAGGGCCTCTGAATGTCCTCAGATGTCCCTCAGGCACAGACTGGGAGCCACTCAAGAGCACCTGGCCTTGAGCTGGGTTCCGGCAGCAGAGGGGGGTGATGCTGGCAG